ACCACTTTAAAAGTAAACTCATCTATCACTGGAAAGCAACCGAATGAAATTAAGCGAGCGAGGGAGCACAAGAACGCATACCTTAAACTTACTCGAAGCAATGAATCTTGATCATCAGACGATGTCCAATCAGTCCGTTCTTGAATACGAGCACGTTGAAAGTGTGGATGACTGGCGGTCGGGGCCAAACCAGTATCGAAGATACCCACACGAACACCCGAACCGCAAATATTCATCGACCAAATCTTTTCCGCTTCCAACAGTTTCCATGGCTAGAAAAGAATAGAACAAAACATGGTCCCGTCTTTAGCGCACCTTAGACGTCGACGTTAAAATACAAATGAAATTACAGGTGATTTTAGTCGAACAAGCGTAATGTTATTCATCGATTTTTCGAGAAAACTGAAGTAATACACTTCAATCGATAAATATTCGACGTCGCACAAAATTACTAACTCCTCTGAGAATAGGCGATGTCTCGTTTTGAACCTGGTTTTCCGTGCGACGCTTTTGGTTGCTGTCTTTTGGCTGCCCATTTGGAGAAAGACAGAAAAAGGTTGAAAGTAGGATCAAAGAGAAAATTTAGAATTTCATTGCACTAACGTTGCAGAGAAATTGACAAGATGCACGAAGGCCACTGTTTACGACACCCAGCCATATCACTCTTGCTCGAGTGGACGACCGCGATTATCCAAACCTCTACATCCAACCTCGGCAGTGCTCCTCTAGCTGCCCCACCACATTCGTACAATGCTACGTAGACAGCGGTGTCCAAACACCGACAGTTTCGAACCTGAGAAATGCTCTCACGTAGTGCATCCCTTAAAATATTTGCTGGGAAAGTCTTGCTCATTGCATTCTCGTAGTGGTGTAAGTGTGTGTGGGGGGAGGGTTGCGCTAAATTGGGGAGATGGAAAACCAAGATCCGTGAACCACAGACACGGGGAACAGGAAAGTTCTGACTGCGTCACACCGAACAGACGCACGTAATGGACAGGGGAAGTTCACTGATCGACAAGTGTGTAATGAGCATCCCGAAAGTGTCACTAGCGTCCTGGGGGAAGAATATCCAGCTGATCGGACACCGACGTACTCCTTCTTCTACCTACAGGGTCAGGCTTTACAAGATAAAGGCTTCAATTGAGAATCTTTAGGAAAATCACGTGCTTCGACGTAAGCAAATTGAAGTTATTTCGCCTACCAATAAGTCACGGACCAGTGTTCATCCTCTAGAGATTCTTAGGCAATGAATTGCTTGTCGTGCGGTTTGAAACCGCNTGAAAGATGATGACGTTGAGTGCCTGGAGGCATCACAGCTAGACAACAGCAATTCAGTTGGGTATGTGATTTGCTGTCTGTCGATTTCAATCGTGTTTAGCCTCATAGTTTTAGATGTGTAGAAAAGTAAGACAAACAAACTCTGTCAACACGTATCTCGATGGGAAGAAAAAGTGTGTGTGAAGCAAGAGAGATCAATGGTACAAAAGTAAACCGAACCCAAAACTTTGCTTTCTTTCTTTTACTCTGTTTTTGTTGAACACAATTGTATACATAAACTTCGGGAAGGGAGCAATTACTAACCCTAAGATCATGCTGTGCTGACGTTTGACTACATTTGCTATGCTTCCGTACCGCACAATTCTACGGTTAGCTCCTGTATGTTTGTTGACTACACCAAACTTAAAATTTTGGCGAGGTTTCCAATGGAAATTTCCCAACGAACAGTGTGATCCCCTGGTGTCCTGGGAAGAATTTACAAACCACCTGACGGAAAGGGTGAAAGGCGCGACGAAGGCCAAACGCATCACCTACTCAACTGGTCAAAGATCAGCAATTCGAAGATGGACAAAAAAGTGGATTTCACAGATGAATGTCTCATGGACAGCTTACAAAGGATCTCTTTGCTACAACACATGGCATACCTACTGTCAGCTTCGAAACCACTGCACCAAGTTGGCGCGAGAAGACAAGTTAATACACCAAGGAATGCTCATGCGCAAGTTCATGTCAAATCCCAAACTGTTGTACAAACACATAAATGCCACAAGAAAAGTTAAGTCTGGTGTTCCAGCGTAAAGGGTGGCGGAACGTGTTTCAGTCACAACAAAGGAGGCAGCTGAAATGCTAAAACGTCAGTACGCTCACCGCACCTGCGAATACTGGCCTACGACTGCCTCTGTTATTTGAGGATACATCACAACCAGTGCTCACCACAATTGATTTTCCCCCAGAAATCGTAGCATCGAAACTGCAGTGTTTGAAAAGAAACTCATCTCCAGGGGTAGATAATATCCACTGACAAACCCTTATCAACCTGGCAAGTAACTTAGCTCAACCATTAAGCAAACTATTCCAACAAATGTTCAACAAAACCGCGCTCCCAAAAACATGGAAACAAGGGATAATCTCTCCGATATATAAGGGTGGTTGTCGTAGTGACCCAGCTAACTACCGCCCCGTTACTCTCCT